CGCGGCCGCGGTGATGGCGGAGAAGTTCGACTCGCTGGAGGAAAACCTGGAGAAGTTCGTGGAGAACATCCGGCAGCTTGGCATCATCGTGAGCGACTTCCAGCCTAGCAGCCAAGCTGGGCTCAACCAGAAATTGTGAGGGGAGCTGCCGCTCCCTACGCTTGGCTCGTTACCCAGGCTAGACCGCGGGGCCTTGTCCGAGCAAGCCCGCGGCCTCAGGGTGCCGGAGGCCTTGGTCGTGGTTCTGTCACCCTTCCGCCGTAGCGAAGCGTGGGAGGAGCGGCACGGCGTTGTCCCGTTTTGGGGTGTCCCTCCTTGGATTTCGTGTCTCCGTGCCCCGCAGCCGGGGGTGGAGTTAGCGCAGCACTCCCCTTCTCGGCTAAACCCGGCGCGTTCTCTTGCAGGAACTTCATGGTGACCGGTTTGCAGGATATCGACAAATGTCGCCAGCAGCTTCACGATATCAGCGTGCCCTTGGAAGTTTTTGAGTGAGTAATTTGGTACCTGGAAGGGAAGGTGCTCTGGTCGGTGGGATCTGCAGTGTAGGTGTTTCCCCTGACGACTGCTTGTTTATAAATCCTGTCTTCTGCATGCCTCACAAGAATGCAAGCAGGCAGAAGGTAAGAAGTACCTTCAGACTGTGACAAGGTAGAAGGGTGAGAGAAGCAATAAATTATACACTTTCCTTCATGTCTCTTTTTTTATTTTTTTTCAATTTTTGTTGTCTGTGTTGACAGAAATATAGATTCTGCCAAATCTAGTGATTTAGTAAGTCAGCTTTCATTTTGGAAATACTTTTACAGTATGGTTAGAACCAGGTTTTAAAGTTGCAGGTGAGGATAAATTAAGCCAGTGCTCAGGTGTCCAGCTTCAGTAGCAACAATATTCTTGTTGTCAGAGAATTAGAACATTAAAAGTAAAGTCAGGAACATAGAGGGAGAGCTATACAGCTTTTTTGATATAACTGACAAGCTGTTGTACTAGTGTTTCTTGTAACTCCAAATGTCACTGGTTTGCTGTATTCTAGTGCATTATTTGCTATACAGGGACTTTTTTTCAGTTGGGCTTTCACTCTATCTGTAAATTTGTGATGATAGTCTTAAGTGTTCTGTTTTCTTTATTCACTGAATTTCATTTTTTTGGGTACTTGCATTGCAGAGTGAAAATGCACTTATAGTTTTGCCCATACAGGTGTTACTTTTTGCTTTTTACTGTGGTGTGTTCCTAACAAGGGAACATCTCTGAACTGCTGGGTGCCGTTTTTCTCTGTGCCTACTGCTCACCATTTACTAGCTAAACTGCTTTATGGTTAGTGCCTTTTCAGTTGCTTGCAAAAGGGACCATCATACTTAAATTATGTGTGTGCTTACTGCCTGTGAGGAGCCAGGTAATTATATTTTTTGTTTACTTCTAATACTTTTTTTTTGTCAAAGCTTGAGGCTTTCTGGAAACAAAGATCTGAACAGCATCCTGAAACAGCTGGTGGCTGACTGTGGCCTAGTACTCCTTTAGCTGCCTTTTGAAAAATGCTTAATTAAACTGTGTTTTTTTAATGGACATTTCAGATAACAGTAGTAACAAAAAGAGGGAGGTGAATAATTTTGTACCTTGGAGAACATCCTAGTAGGACTATGATCATTTAGGTAGTCTCCTTTCTATTTTCAGATACATAGATCAAGGTCGCAATCCACAGCTTTACACTAAAGAGTGTCTGGAGCGAGCTTTGGCTAAAAATGAGCAAGTAAAAGGAAAAATCGACACAATGAAGGTAAAACAAAAGAGAAACAGGAGAAGTACTAATGTAATAATGTGTTTAATAAGACTTTACTTTTTGGTAAACACATGAGTTTTTTCACTCATGCAGTTATTAAATTCCCTTATTAGGTGTTTTGGTTTCTCTCCGATTTGGAATTGCTCTGCATCCTTATACCTTAATTGATGTTAGTACAGTGTGCTCTGGAAAGGAAACTTGTAATTCATCTCACAGCTGGAGATGCAGATGTTGCTGTGATTTTATTTTGGTTAAAGTTGTATGTAGTTAGTGTTACACATCTTTTTGTTTTGTTCTGTTTTGAACACTAGTGAGTACCTCATCCTGTCACTGCTCTTTAACTGTGATGTTTAGAAAATTTAGAAATTTAGAAACAAGCAAAATAGAGTATTTTTCCTGTTTTGAATGGATCTTAAGAGTATTAAAGTGTCAAATGTTCTATATAACCATGTATTAATCCTTATAAAATGACTTAAAATGTTTGCCAGTGTTTAGGGTTTTTTGAACTTGTACTTCCATCTACTATGAACCTTGGCATTCTGATGTACTGTTTAACTGCTGGAATTACTGCTGAAAAATATAGATAAGGGAGTTTAGTGACATGTGAGAAAAGGCTGCTTGTTTCAGAATGCTCTTTGTCTGAACTTAAAATTAGTGCGGAGGATGGCAATTTTTTTCTCCAAAGCTTCTATATGTATTCTATATGTATTCTATATATATATTCTATATATATATTCTAAAGCTTCTATTTCTTCTGATACGCTTTGTGCTTGTAAAAAGTTGTAAGAAGAATTATGTATTGCTAAGCTAGGTGTGAGTTCCTTTTCGAAGGTGGAGGAGATTCCATATCAGCTTTGCTTAATAAAGTCAGACAGGTATTGATGCACCAGGGTTTACCACAGAGGTCCAGCTACTTTGTATTTCCTGGATGAAAATGCTAGTTAATTTATGGGAAATAAAAAGTGTTTTAGTTTGCATTGCAATTTCCTAATGGATTTCAAGTAAATATTTTCTGTGAATTTTGTAAATGTAACTTGCTGTGGTTCTTGCGTGTGCTTTTGAGTTTTTTTTCAGGTGCCATTCTGTTGGGTCACTGGAAGGTAGAGCTGTGTTGCATATAAATGTTTGTTCATCAAATAATGTCGCTTGATGAAAGCTAAATAAATTCTGCAAATGATGTATATATATTTTTATGTTTCCAGAAATTTAAAAGTCTGTTAATTCAAGAACTGACAAAGGTGTTCCCAGAAGACATGGCAAAGTACAAAGCTATTCGAGGAGAAGATCCTCCTCCTTAAGTTGGCCTTTGATAGCTCTAAAAATGTCAATTCTATAAACTGCCACCACTCCATAAAAACACTGATGAGAGAGGGGAGGAATCTAAGCTGTCATAACAACTGTGATGGACTGTAAAGGAGCTTGAGGATTGCTGATAATTCTGGTCTGAAGCTAATGAATCTTTCTGAAGATTTCTACTCTAAGATGGCGGCTGAAACTTCCTGTGGTAACCTGTTCTTTTTTTCCTGAGGGATTTTGGAGGTGCAGTTGCCTACGGGTCATCAATATACAGCATTTCTCATAAAGTGCATTTCTAGGTCAGAAAATTATGGGGTTTATCTTCTGACAAATGTGCTCCAGGATCTTGTGTTCATTTTAAGAGAAATGTATTTATTATACTTGATTATTTTTCATTTGTAAACTGCTTGGTTTTTTTTTTTATTACAATACAAACCACTGACTCCTTTCATCTTGCCAAATTCTGCTGAACAGAAGCCTGTCAAGGGCTGCAGTTCTCATGCATCATAATGAACTGCAGCCAAAAAACCTTCAGATATTGTTTTGTTGTGTGAGCTGCAGTGCAGATGGCTGAGGGTATAGAAAATGAGCGTATTTGGGGACTAGCTCCTCAACAATGTTAATATTTTGCATAGTATTTAATATAAGCTTTTGTTTGTTCATTTTCTGCAAGCAGGTTGTTGAATAAAAATTTGACGAACATCTAAATACTAACATTTTTCTGTTATATGCTCTTCTTTGGAGAGTGAACTGAAAGCTGTGAAAAATAGCATATTTCTCAGTCTCACAGAGATAGAAAAAAAATGTATATCAAAACTCGGCTGACACATCTGAAGATAATGTCAACTTGGTATTTCGGTTTTGTGGGTTTCTTGGCATTCCTCTCTTAGAAGGAAAGACTGAGACACTTGGGGCTGTTTAGCCTGGTGAAGAGGAGACTGGGAGGGGATCTTATCAATATGTAAATGGCAAGGGTCAAACAAATGGGGCCAGTCTCTTTTCAGTGGTGCCAAGCGATAGGTGAAGGGGCAACAGGCACAAACTAGAACTCGGGACGAAGGAGAGTGCAGGTGACAGAGCCCTGGAACAGGCTGCCCAGAGAGGTTGAGACTTGAAAGTCTTCTCTGGAGACTTTCAAAACCTACCTGGATGCATTTTTGTTTAAGCTGTCTTAGGGGAACCTTCTTTGGGAGCGGGATTGGACTACATGATCTCCAGAGGTCTCTTCCAACCCCTACTATTCTGTGTTTCTTCTGTGGTGAGGCACTGAAAAACAATCCCTTGAAATGCTAGCAAAGCATTGCTATAGTTTTCACGTTGAGCAAATGGAGCTTCTAGTAGATCATTGTTCATGAGACATTGGTACAGTTGATCTTAAAAGCAGAGAGAAACAAGATGACTTGAGCTTCATTTCAGCCCTTTTTTGACCACAAAATATTGCCATTCAGGAAAATAAAAAAAAGAAATGGATTTAAGTATTTCTTGCAAGAAAGCAGGGATGGAGAGCAAGGACAAGAAGGACAAGAGGCAGTGAACCTGAGTTGTAAGGAAGGAAATTTGATGGACAGGAGTAAGTTCTTCACTCTGATTTAGCACTGGGACATCTCCTCAGAGAGCCTGCAGAATTGCTGTCCTGAGAGATTACATCTTGCCTGTACAAAGCTCTGAGCAATCAGATGCAGCTTAGAAGTTAGACCTTGAGGCAGGCAACTGAATGAGATAACCTGCAGATGTCCCTTTCAACCACTTTTTTTTTCTGATTTCTATAATTCTATTACTTTATGCAGGGAAAGGTTTTTGACTACTCCAGTCTCAATAAAGAATTTTTGTTGTTGTTTGTTTTGCTTTGTTGTTGCAGTGTGCTGCAGATGATAGTAGGTATTTAACTGGTGCAGGGACCTTTGCTTTTGTGTAGTGCAAACTATGCCTGTAGGTGGACTTGTGCCTGTAGGTGAAGCACTGAAGAGGTGCTGTAAGAAGCATTTTCATTTGATTTTCAACTCATTGGGTTGTGAGAAAAAAATGTCAACATTAATGAGACACTAATATTGTTATCAAAAAGTTGAAAAACATATATGTTAGATTAATTAAAAAAACACAACTACTTAGCTTTACATCCTTCTTCCTACTCATGATACCATTCAAAAACTTTTAGCTTATAAATTTTGGCTGAAGCATCATACTCTAGAATGTAGCCCTTATTTTCAAATTAGTTCTTGCACATATTGCTTTGAATTTTGGGCTTTGTGTATTACTTTTAAAACAGTCTCGTACAATGTAGAGTTGGTACTGTGAAAATATCGCAGGATTTACATTCTAGATGTTCTGTGGAGCTTAGCATCATGTATGCCTCCATCAGTTTATATGCTGACCAGCTCTGTTGATCAGCTCAGAGCTAATGAGCTTAATGTGGTATGGCTTTTTTGTAGTGTGTTCTTTCCACATCTATATTCCATGGCATATATTCTATAGAAACTAGTAATGGATTAGTATAGCTTATAATGTATGGATTTACTCCTACTGCTGATAGGAAAAGAAGGTGTGAGAAGGAGAGGGATACTCTTACAGATTTGCTGGAAAGAGGATTTGTCCTTTAAATATAGAAACACTGAACAGAATGAAAAATTCAACTTTCTGAATATTAAATATTTTTGTGCTGAAAATTTCTTTTCCTTAACAGAAAACCCCCAAGTTCTATGTGTCGTTTCTATGTGTCAGAGCTACTCTCTGTGAGCTATGCAGCTGAATAATTTCTCAACAACTCTGCTACTTCCCACCTTTGAAGAAGACCACTAAGGTAGGGCGAGATGAGGTATTTTTGGCAAAGAATGGCAAAAGAGCAGCTTTGTTCATAGAATCTGAATTGCCCATGCTTTGTTGGGCTGAGGGTGGGAAGCCCTTGAAATTGACTGGCTTGTCCAGTGGGTATTCTCTCTGTCTCAGCTCCAGCCTCCACATCACTCCAGAGGAATAGCACCATGATTTGCATGAGGCAGTCTCCTGTACCTTATGGAAAAAGGCTGATAATTTTGCTACCATTACAACCCCATTATCCTTCTAGAAACACTGTACCAAGTACTAAATCTATGCATTTGATTTGTTTGTGAAGCACTGTTTGGCTTTGGCCATGTTCTCCTGATACTGGCACCATGTTATGGATGTGATTGTGCCAGCTACGTAACACGCAACAAGGTCTCGTCTGTTCTCTCTTGCTGCCCTTAGCACTCTTGCTGCAACGTTGTTCGGCGTTTGTGAACCGATTCTGCATGCAGGCCATAGCTTCCTGCAGGATTTAGAGATCTGTCTGGAGCGGTCGGGGAGCTGGGGAGGGGAAGCAACTCCACAGCCACAGGGCCCTAAAATTGTGTGAAATGTCTTCTCCATAACTGTATAATTTGCTGTTGTTGTTAGTTAATAAAATAATTACCCAGTGCTGGCCACAATGAAGGTGGTTATCCCTGTAACTGATGTCCACGTTTGCTGTGGGAGGAAGAACTGAGACTTACAGGGCTCAGGGAGAGGTGATTTACAGAGAATACATGAACCACGTACTTCCCCTGGAGGATTTAGGCATTCATGGTAAAAATGATGAGTGGGATAGTTTGTGGAGATAGAGGATTAGGGAACAATATTCTTCATAGGTGACATTTTCGTAGCATGTCAGCAGCTTGTCTTTTGTGCAGTGTCTATGAGAAGGCATTTTTCAGCTTGGGGGATATATATATTTCAGGATTTGTAATAATAATAATAAAAAGGAGTAATAAATCTAATCCAATTACTAAACTATCAAGTTTTACATTCTGCTCAGCTCCAGTTCTACTTTTGTGACACTTTCTCATTCCAATATTTTGTGATTGCTTCACTTACTGTTTCTAGGCCAGCCATGTGAAATGTTACTATTTTTGCAAATGCCCCAAAGTTTCTATATTTAGCATAATATGGAAGAGAGGTAACTGTTCTAATCCATGCATATTTTATGGAAGAGAAGGTAGCCAGAATAAGTGTGTTTAGAATGCTAGCTGTTGCTAGGTTTTTTTTCATGCAGATCAAACCACTGCAGTTGTTATTCTGTTCTCAGAATGAGATGAAGCACCAGTGAGCCAGAAGCTATCTGTTACTCATAGCATTCAGAAGAGTTTTTAATGCAAAAAAATTATTCTAGGCAGAGCAGTTTGGTTTTCAGCGATTACCTTTCTAGTTCACTTGGTTGATAAAGTACTGCTAAGTGGGGGTAATGGTTTGATGAATTCCCAAATATTTTATATTGTGATGTTTTTATAAATTACTTTCTTTGATGAGTGGTAATTCCCAAGTGACTGGAAGTGTTTGTTGTTTGAATCCAGTAAAGTTATCCCAGGTCCTTTGTAATCTCATCTTTGACTCTTTTGTCATCACAGAAATAGAAAAGATAAACTAGCCAATCCATTCCTTTTTGACCTGAGTGATCTTTGACATTTTAACTAGATCAGTCAGGAACCACTAACTGAATTTGCAGCTTTACAGACACCTCTTTATCAATGTATTTAAAAGATAAATTATATTAAAAAAGATTTTAAAAATGTGGAAGAAGTGTTCTAAATACTGAGCCTAACAGCAAGTTTATAAAAGAGAAATATCGCTGCCAAAAATATTTCTGGTTTCTCACTTTTCAACAGAAAGTCTTTTCTCTACTTTACTATGATTAATAGCTGTAGCATTTCTGGGCAGTTGCCAGATGTCCTTCCAGCTTTGCAGAACACAGAGTCAAGGTGATATGAGTGTCTGCCCTGCTCTCTATTTACTGCATGTACTTCAACTAAGATTAAGACACTTCTGTATATTTTCTTAATTAAAGCAACAGAGCTGAACACATTGCTAGGTACTGTTGTAACAGCTCTTTTAATACTGTTAATTCAAATCAAGAATCTGTATTTTCTGTAATGTGATTTATTTCATACTGAGAATGAGACTGTATTTAGACTCAACAAGACATAATGCAGACAGTAAAAAAGAAATGCGCTTCTGCACAGTATAAACATTCTCAAAATAATTATCTGTCTTCTCCTGTAAGAAGTCTCTTTATGTCCTAAGAAAGTACATAATATTGCCATTCCTCTAGATCTGACTTGAATCTAATTTACTTTGTATTTGTAATGTGATCATTATATTAAACAACCTTCTCTAAGTATTCCTGAAAGGAAGAAGAAGCTACTTTTGGAAAAAGCAATCTGAAATTGTCATATTGCATTATGTAATAACTTACTTTGTGGGAATCTAGGCCATATTTATATCAATTCTGCTGCAAAAATAGCATTTA